TCCAATTGTATTAGAATTTATAATAAAAAAAACTCTATTATTATTTTTTTTAAATTTTTTAATATTTAAAAATTATACTAAATTATAACTAATTTGAATTCCAATTGTATTAGAATTTATAATAAAAAAAACTCTTCTAATGTTAATTTTTTTATTCATAATATTTAAATTCAAGATTTTATTTTAAAAAAATAATTTTTTATTTGACTAATCAGTTATTGGTGTTCTTCTATTATTTTTTACTCTATTCCTTTATTTTACTCTTTTAATTTTTCCTACAATTAAAATAATTATATCATGTATCAGATAATATTTTATATTATTGAAATTTTCATTTGCAGGAAAAAAATTTATAAAAGCTTCTTTTCACACCTGTCATTCTTTCTCCCATTATTTGTATTTTTGTGAAATTCCCCCATCAATTCAAGTAGCTTAAAAATTACTTTCTCCTTAAAAATCTCCTATCCTCTTTTCCCAATTTCCCCCCCTCCCCCTTTTTTTTTCTCAAATTAATACCATCTCCTTAATAATTGTCACAAACACTGATTTAGTATTATATGTTTAGCAAAGTTTCTTTATAAAGAGAATAATTTGTTTAATAAGTCTACTCATGAGCTAAGTGAGCTCCAAGTGGTCTTTCTTACTAGCTTCGTCTGGAGGTCCTTTTTTCGGTCTCTTTCGTGCTTTTGTTGTTCATCTACTTTCTCCACTTCTTTCTTTTCGTTCTGTTTTGGTTTTTTCTTCTCTTCTTATTTGAACGTAGCTTCCTCTCTTTCTTCCTCTTTCCCTTCCCCCTTTCCTTCTCCTTCCCTCTTTCACATCATGTCCTCTATACCCTTCATTTTGCTCTCTGATCACTCTATCTTCTTTCTTCTAGTAATTTCTATAGATCTTTTGTTTGTTCTCCGTTTTCTTTCTTTGCTTTTATTCTTTGTTTCATTTCTTTCTTGCCAGCTCCCAAAGGTTCAAATTGCACTGTGGATGAAGAAGAAAAAGGAAATGTTCATGTGCAGAGTCACAAGATCACGGAGATACTGCTAAATGCTAATGAGTATTAATTAAGACTAAATTGAAAATTATCCAGCTACTATAACATCTGACCGAAAGGGAATGTGATAGAAATAACTCCTTAAAGGGGTGTTTCGGTGAGGTGATATTTTTTCTATTAAATTTTTTTTATATTTTCTTTTTATAAAATAATTTATATATTTTTATATATTAATCTTATAATAAAAAGATGATAAAATGACATTTTTAGCATTTAACTTCAATTCCTTAACAAAAATTTCAACTCATAAACTTTTCTTTTAATATTTTTTGGAAAAAAAAACCTGCTTCTTAACTTTTTTTTATATAAAATTTACTTAATAAATTTTTTTACAAACTTTTTATATATCAATTTCTTTTCAAGTATAGAAAAATTAACAATTCAATAAAATTTTAACAAAATTCATTACAAAATTTTTTAACTGTTCATACAGTATTTATTAATTATTTATATAATATATTCTTAACAATTTTTTAATAAAAACTTTCTTGATAAAATTAATTTTTTAACTAAACAACCTAAGGTTTTCGTGTGATGTGTTCATTATTTTTTTGAAAAATGATTAGTATACCATCTGATTCAACACACTTTATAACACATTCATTAAGAAACTCTTATACTCAAATTTGAATTCATAACGGGAAAATTTTCAAAATAAATTTTAATAGTTGAATCAGAATGTATTATACAGTGTGTTAAATCAGAGAGTGTATTAATCATTATCCTATTTTTTTTAAGTGTTAAAATAGTGTTAAATTTGACATATTTCTTATTTTATTATTTTTTATAAGATAGTTTTTAATTG